CGCCGCCAGGAGAGCGGGAACACCCGACGGCCTTAGGCTTATTGGGCCCGCGTTACTCCCACGCGGCTCTGGGTGCTAGCTCACCTCCAATTCAGGTGAAGGCACTGGGTCACTGGTTGACCCGGGGTGTTGCCGCTGGTGGGGTGCTGAGTGGGGTCCTAAACCCTGACACACCCACTGTGAGGTGCCTGAAACGGGACGGGCCCGGATTCCTGTCTGCCCCTGTGTCCTCTGAGGCTGCCCAAGGTGCATCTTACAATAGGTGCCCAGGACACAGGAATCTGAGTGACGGCTGGATGGCATTCTGGGGTGAAACAAGCCATTTTCATTGCATGGTGGGGGGGGGTCGGTGTTGCATCTGAGTTGAGCTCCGTTTTATTAGTGGCTCAATTAGGGAAAGGGGAACACAGCTCATGTTGATCCACTGCCTCCCTGCTACGCTGGGCGGAGCTCTAAGCACTTGGCGTGTTTTCCCTCGCGAAGCCTCACGCGAGCCCTGTGGGGTGCCGACCGGCCCCGCGTGGGCCGCTGAGGGGAGGCGCGTGGGGGTGCATCGGGGTCTCCCTGGAGGGCTCGTGACGACGCAGTGCAGGGCCCACCCCGGGAGTTTCTGAGCTGGGGGCCGAGAATCTGCAGCTCTAACCAGCTGCCGGGTGACATCCTGCAGCTGGTCTGGGGACCAGACTCGGAGAACCGCTGTGTTGGAGGAACGCTAGGCTGATGGGGCGGAGCACGGTGGTCACAAGGCAAAGTGGGCTGAGGCTGGCGCGGATGGACCTTGGACCCCCACCTATGGGGGCGTAGCCAAGCAGGAAGTGGTGGCTCAACCCTCCTCCCCATCTATCTGCCGAGCCCTGGCTCAGGCCTGCTGCCTTCCTGAGGGTGCCCTCTGCTAATCTGCAAAGGCACCGCGGAAGCTGGAGGAATCCTGGGTCTGAAGCGGTCCGACTATGTGGGACCCTGCAGACCAGGGTCAAGGATTTGCACCAGAGGGCTTTGAGCAAATAGAACATGACCCTATTTAAGTCTTAGAGCCCTCAGATGCGTGGATGCACAAAATGTGGTCCACCCACACACGGGGGTATTATACAGCCTTAGAAAGGAAGGAAATTCTGACACACGCCACCACACAGATGAACCTTGAGGGCATCCTGCTCAATGAAATACGCCAGACCCCAAAGACAAGGACTGCATGATTCCACTTACACTAGGCGCCTAGAATAGTCAAATTCGTAGGAGGAAAGTAGAATGGTGGCTGCCAGGGGCTGGGGGGCGGGGGGATGGGGAGTCAGTGTGGGCAGTTTCAGTTTGGTAAGAGGAAGAGATTTCTGGACATGGATGGTGGTAACGGTTGCACGACAGTGTGAATGTACTTAATTCCAGTGAACTGTATTCTTAAAAATGGTTGAAATGGCAAACTGTGTTATTTGTGTTTCACCACACACAAAAATGGTCCCTCTGTCTGGCTGCTGTGTGAGAAGGGACTGGGCTGCGGGGCTGGGAGCAGGCCAGGGTGGAAGCGGACACTCTCCAGGGAGGCCACGCAGTCACTCAGGTGCGAGGCCACAGGGACTTAGCCCGGGAGACAGCAGTGGAGAGGAGAGAAGTGGACAGATGCAGACTCTGTTTTGAAGGCAGAGCCAACAGGACCAGCAGACAGACTGGACAGGGGAGGGGGCGATGGAAAAGGACAGCCCTTCCATGTTTGGGGTGGGCATTTGGGTGAATGACAGATTTATTTTCTAAAACGTGTGAATGAAAATTATTGCCCACCAGACCAGTAAACAAAGGGCGCTGCCACCATCAGCCATCAGCCACTACCCCCACCCACAACAGCGAGGAACTCAGGATGGAGACCAGTAGGCAGCCTGGCCTCTGCCACCACACCCAATGGTACCCCCGAGGCGACTCAGGATGGCAAAGAACAGGACACTGGCCCTAGTAGCCAGGTGCAAATCGAAGGAATGATTTCAGTGAGCCCAGACTTTTGCACCTTCCCGTTAACCTAGAAAAGCACTAAATTCCTTAATTTGAGATTACTGGCTTTCTTTAACAGTAATCTTTCAATGTTCTGAATACCTGGTCTTTGTTGCCAACTCTTACATACATATTCTGGTTCCTCCTCTGCCTCTTTGGAACAGTCTTTCAGAGCTGAGAGGCTGTAACCCAGGCTTAAATCCTCAGAAATTGTCCGCTGAATAAAAACTTAACTCTCAACTTTTAGTTGTGCAATTTTTTTTCAGTCCACAGTTGGCAGAACACTTGGGGAGAAACAAGTTTCTTCGCTGGAGGGGGGGGCAAAACATTCTCTTTTGCCCACCTTAGGTTTGAGATGCCTGTTAATACAAGTGGAGACATCAAGTGGGCAATTGTGCGGCGGGAAGCCCCATAAAAAGACCGGCAGGACCCCCAAGTAGAGCCACTACTCTCCTGCCAGCACCATCCAGTTCCCCAGCCCAGAGACTCTATTTCACTTTTTGCCTCTGAAACGGCTTACTTACCCCTAAAATTCTATTGGCTCCCTG